CGCTTAAGTACATTATACATGTGACTTACGCTTACCAGAGTAAGGTACTGCTTCCAATCTCCAGGGTGGTGTATCGACATGCATGTATTTTTACTTGAATTGTATATTACCATACCGTTCGTACTGAAAGTACCTACCTCTGAACCTCTCCTGAGACATCGATGACTGAGGACTGAGAGTTTGAATGATGTAAGAAGCCTGAAGGGATTCTTTGGACTAGAGAGGAACGGGCCTGCCTGTGATTTCTTGTTATGCATTGTGACTGGATACCTGGTAGGTAGACTAGCCTGCACGTCACCTATATACGTCGTCTGACGAGGCTCAAGGCTGGTGCGAATAGCACGTGGAGATGACAGAATCCCTTCTGTCGTGCAACATGCCATGCTTCGTTCTTACTCATCAAGCGGCTAGGGGCTTTGAATTTATTGTTTATCAATTCTGATTAATGTTAAAGAATGCCTAAGAACGCCTAATGATGTCACTAACACTGTAGGAGCACAGCTCCCACAGTGATCTCAGATGTATCTGAAACAGGAAGATAGACTGATTGGAGAAAGCGGGCCCGAAAGGAGTATAGCATCATCCGCCATGCAGACCGAAGAGAGAAAAGAAAAAGCAGATTTACGCGGCAGCCCATTGAGGACACACTCGCTTGATGAACTTCATGAACTTGAAGAACCCGACGGCGTACTCGACATTACCGTGAGGATCAACTGTCCGCTCTGGAAAGGCTATACCAGCACCATGTAAGCCCTTAACGAGACGTCCATGTTGATCGTAGAATCCTCCGTTTTCATGATCAAAGTCCGGCTCCAATGGCGAACTATTCACAGAAAGCTCTGGCAGCGGATCCCGAGTGAAGCCAATGGCCTGAACAATGTGAGTGCAGAAGGGTAACTGCAGCTTAAACTGCGCCATCTCTTTACCACTGCTGCAGTCGACCTTGGTGATGAAACGGCCTGCCTCGGAGGTCGGTAAAACTTCATCTTCGAGTTGCTGGCGGGCAAAGTCCGCAGCGAGACCCTTGAGACCGGTGTTATCTCGGAGGATCCAGCCGTCCATGTACTCGGCATACCGAAGAGGATGCCGGGTAAACCACTTGATGCGGAGCTGAGGATGAGAACTGCGGGCCAAATCTACCAGGTTGAGCAGAGCCAGAATGGCACTGTGAGAAGCCCCTACGACGGCGATGGTCAAGGGCGTGTTTCGCGGAAGATACGAGGCGAGTTCGCTGGGCTTCAAAACAGTGTCAAGGTCCAGCCTCTGAATGTTGTGCCCAGGAACAGGGATCGGAGCGGTCGTCGGTGACGACCCCGTACACAGGATGAGTTTAGGTGTCTCAACTTCAAACTCGTCGGACGATCCGTGACTTTTGATACGTACTGTCCAGGAAGAAGTCTATGGAACGAGGAAACGAAAATCTTTAGCAAAAATATCCGATTTCTCTCTCATGTTGCCCTCCTGTGGTAGTTTAATGTGGAATCTCAAACTAACCTTTTCCGCCAGATTGGCAGCAACGACATAACCCTTGCATTGAACAACCCGGTCCAATTTCACAATGCCCTCTGTTAGGGACTGAACCATGTCTGCACCATGCTGCAACAGACATGTTTGATCTTGGTCAAGTTTTGCTAGAGTCGTGAAAGAATTTGGCATGCGTGTACTACTGATGACAGCACGGAATGGCTGGACACCTGTGGCATACGCTTGGAAGAAGGAGACTTTCGTGTTGCTGGACAGGACCCGAACAGTCAGCTGTGAGTTCCTCCTCCGGAGCTTGCTTGGTTTCCCATGCCCGTAGAGAGCCGGGAATAGTTGTTGCTCACCTAGGAACCTCGCGGTATTTCATGCCAACACGTCCGGCCTGAAAGAAGGGATCAACCCAAGCAATTTTCCCACCAAGCTGCCTCTCGAGGAGACTTCCAACCACAGCAAGACCGGCAGGACCAGCTCCCACAACAACCGCAGCACATTTCTGAGGCGGATTCATTATTGTTGAACGATTTGGAGATATAGATGCAGAGAGCTCGTAAATGAATTTTATGGGACAAAACTCTGGAATTACCACATGAAGATATCTCAATGGAGGTATTGAAGAATCATAGGAAGAGTGCGAACTAGAAGGGAATCTCCCAGATGGTTAGAATCAGAACCCGGCGTTTTTCTCGGTGAAAACAGCTATCAAGCGTCGTGACACCTTCTCCTACGGAAAGAGGGGGAGCTCGATCATCATATACATCGGGAAACGGCGAGCAAAGGGACGCAGAATGACAACAGCGAACAATAAAACCGCATTGCAGACGCTTGGCATGATTCACTGTTTACCGCTTGTCCAGTCCATTGATATGGGGATGAGCAACAAAAGCGGCTTGAGAGCCCGAAATCAGACATCTCGGACGATAGAACACATGGTGCAGACGTAATCAACCGTCCATAGAGAGCAAGGAAAGACACGGGTCATGCGGTGATAATGGTCCTAAAGGTACTAGGATACTCCATTCCCAACTCTCTCTGTCAAACACTGAAGATGTCGAAAGCCCGGCCATAGATGAGCAATCGGCGACTCAAACTGACTGCTGAGTGGTTGAACTTTGATGGTTGCACAACTGATACACCAGGCCCCACTTTGACCTTGTGAGTGAATCGCCGACCGTGACGCTTTCCGTCGGCTCAGGCAAGAGAGAGAATGTCAGGAGGGGTGTGCTCGTCGTAGCCCTTCATCAAGAGAACGAGGGATCCCATGCAGTCCATGACTTGTTCACGAATTATAACCGTTGTTGGTCAAACGGACATAAATCTCATTCGCAATGGAAAAGGAACAGCTCCCAAAGGTGCTGATAGTGATGGAGGATGAAGAGTCCTTATATTCAAGCACGCGAGAACCATGCAGGGCGGTCTTGGCGCGATTGCGTGATTTCGACTAGAATGAGGTTATCACTGTCTGCCTGATTGGGAAGGTTGCTGCTATCTCAGGCGTTCTGCAGAAGAATGCGGAGTTGAGGTTAAAAGGATCTATATATATTGAGCAAGGGTTAGGGGTCACTACTGTGCACCAGCCATAGCTACCTTAAGATTTGATCAACCTATCTCCTCATTTTTGTATCATTTCGCTGGTACCCAACATTAACATGTGCTGTTGGATTCCTGCGTTGTTTCTTTGGAAGCTGCTTGGGCTGCGGCTAGTGTAAGGTACGGGAAGCTCGTGACAAGGTCTCAATTTGAACAGCGAAAACTAGAAGATTGTACGTTCGCCATTCCATGATTACACGGCCCAGAATACCCGAACAGATATGAATTCGACGTGGTTTGACCATCCTGGAAATCGTGCTCGTCCCCAGACAGCAATGGAGTCTCCCACGCCCAAGGTCCGGACTACATTTCCATCCAGCGTCGCCCGACCACGACCTTGCGAACGCTCAATCTCTTCTGCGTCAGCAGATTCAGCCTGGATGTTGTCAAGGTAGTGCCAAGTGATTGTATATTCCTGTGTCTGTGATACTGCGGTCTTATTCATCTGAAGTTTGCCGGGACCTGGCAAGAAATGTGAGTGCTGGGGACCGATTGGTTCCTGACGCTCCCCTTCGCCGCCAGTGGACTGGGCGGACGCTTGCGAATCTGTTTGGTTGCTGCCATTTTGAGGGATCTCGTGTATGATCTCGACATCGAACCAGGTATATGACCCATCGTAGGGACTTTCACCTCTAGGACCGCCACCCCAGCCCTGGTCATGGGACAAGATTGTGAAAACAATCTTGCGACAGGGATGTATGGTCTGATGAGGAAGTAAATCTGGGGATGCGCTTCCCATTGTCTATCAATAGGTCATAAGCTATCAGTCTCCATAATAGATCCAAGAAACGGAGGAATTGAAGGCTTGATAATCGCCAGCCGCAGTCAAGGCAAGCTCTGGAACATACCGCCTCATCATAACACAACGGTGCCGTTCGTAGCAGCTCTCGGTCATGATCCTGTCTGATAATCGTCCTTGTGTCCATCCTAGCCTCGATTGAGGGCCAGTATTCGGCAGCCTCCATAATCATGTCCAGAATCTCCATTGGCAACCCTTCTGAGATGATCTTCCATCTCAAAATATGCCGAACCTTGAACACATCAAATAAACCGGGATAGAAAGTATCTGCGGCTGTATCTTGCGCGGGCTCACTCGAAGAAGGGTTCGTATCGTCCGAGTCATTAAACGGTGGTTGACGAGGGGAGCGAAAGCGGCGCATAATGGACGGAAGCATCATTTGAATCTGAAATCAATGTCATAAAGCGCAAGGGTATCTCTAGAGATTTCGAAAAGACGGCTAGACAGTAATTCGATATGTTTTGGAGGAATATTTCGGGCCAGCCCAGGCATCAATGATAAAGGCGTTATCCTGTGCTCCGTCCAATAGCACTGCTCATCGATCAAGGTCAACGCTGGCTGAAATCCCGGTGATTACAGATTTAGATAAAGATAGACGGGTCTCATAGATGTCTCAACGTTGCGGTTTGGCCTATATTGTGCCTCAAAGGCGAAGTCAGAATTGTTGCCGTTTCCCCACGTTCGGGCGGGGAGTTCAGCAGACTGTGGGTAACAGAGAACTGATACCTAACAGTATCAGATTTGTCTGGCCAGTGGCTTAGAAGCACAAACAATGGCTACAGGCTAGAACTATGATGCGATGATGTTTAAGAATATTAATGAAGCATTCAAGAAGGTAACTCGACGACCTGAATGGGATATATGTGTTTGGCTGATAAGAAATAGATAGTGTGTCTGATGACGTCAATGTTGTCAATGGGGTTCTTTTATATCACCATCCGCGTACTTCTATTGGGCGGTCCCCTATATCAATACTGTCTGGAAAACAGCGCTGTGATGACTTTGAAATAGTGCCATTTTAAATTCAGGAAGATGATCCTCTCAATGTGGTGAGGACATAGTACGCTTCGTTGTAAGCAGTGCCATGAACAGACCAGATGGAGAAAAATTATACATGTAAAGACGAAAAGGTCTATTTTGCCATCTTTCCTTTCCTGCCTCCGGCAGCCTGGTAGGCTGCAGCTCGCTTGGCGCTCCGATTCTTCGGCTTGCCTTTGGAGCCACGGCTCTTGGTCTTAATTTTGACGCGCGATGATCCGCCCTCTGTTGCTCGATGACCTTCAAACACCACCGAGTTCCCGGATATAGACTTTCTCCCTTCGGCCTTCATCATAGCCGCACCGGCTCTACCAAAGAGCTTACCTGCACGGCCTTGAAGCGTCGAGAAGCCCTCCCCAAGCGCTTTGCCATGAGACCCAGTCTCTGGGCCATCACGCTTCTTGGGGAGCTTCTTGGCCCGCGTCACCCGGAGTTTCCGCGGCAGCATGGGAGGAAACTTCTTCCCGTCGAGCAAAAGTGCCTCCTCCACACAGACCTGATCATAGAACTGTACATAAGCAAAGCCTTTGCCCACGCGGGTAGTACGGTCACGGACCACCCGGACAGACTCGACATTGCCTTTTGAGGTCCGTTCTTTAGATCCCTTGGTATGAGCGTTGAATGTGCGCCACAAACCTTCCTCAACGTCCGCGGGCCCCGACTTCTTCTTTTTCTTCTTCTCGTCTTCATCGGGGTCGGTCTCGTTGTCCACGAAATCAAGGTTGCCAACAAAGACACACCGCTTATGGTCGATCTGGGACGGATGCGCAACGCTGTCGACACGAAGGTGTCGATCTAAAACAACAGTGCCGTTCAAGGCCGCAGGTGCCTTCCGCGCTGCCTGCACCGTACTGTAAACAGCGTACGCATTGGTGCTTGGTGTAGTATCATCCAATATCTCACGTCTAGCAAAGGCAGCTCGCTTGGGGACTTTCCCGCCGCTTGCGAAGGCCACGGAGCGAAACCGAATCGATTCGACTTTGTGAGGCCCTGTAGATTCTGGAAGAGTGGAAAGAAAGGATGCCAGATGCTTCAATAGGGTCTTCTTCGCCGATTTGGACTTGATGACCTGGCTCGAGACGTTGCCGAGGAACACGGTTCGATTACTCTTTTCGAGTTCCTTGGACTCCGGATCACCGCTCTGAGTCTCGTGCTTGGGGACTGTAATTTCGTCCTCGTCCTCCGAACTTTCCTCATCCTCGTCTTTAGACTTGTCCGACGCAGAATCAGGGCCATCTCCTTCCTCTTCAACTTTCTGCCTCTTTGCCTTCTCGGCGCGACGCTTTTCCTGTTCCTTCTGCTCCTCCTTTGCTATACGCCGCATATAAGTCTCTTCGAGATCTTCCGCAGCGGCTCTTTTCCGTTTCCTGCCCGAACTGGCTTGGGTATCCACGGCCGGCGTACTCTCAGCATCACTGGCGACTTCCGAAACGTCCTGCATATCTTCATCTTCGCTTTCCGGGCCCTCCTCAAGCTCGGAAATTTCTTCATCATCTTCTTCCTTTTCTACATCATCTTCTGGCTCATTGTCCTTTCTCTGAGTGACCATCGGCTGCACAGGCGGAGCTTTCACTGGACCAGCCTGGATGATTCCGATCATGAGAGCGTTAGAAGAGCCTTATATTAGTCATGGATAAGTACATACACTTTTTTCGAACAATGAAGCCAATGATGGGTCAATGGCAGCCTTTCCGCCCAAAAAGGGCAGAGTAACGTCTGTCTTGCCTGGTTGCGAGACATTGTCCGACTGGGCCTTACTTTTCTTGCCCATCTTAAGTCAGAATGGGGGAGATCTCTGTCGTCCTTTAAAATGCGGTCAGGCAATGAAGAAGATCAAGATCAGTGGTTGAGTTTCCCACTATCAAAGCAATTACGCTTTTATCTGGCTTTCTCCGTTGCGTTTCCTAATTTTTTGCCTCGAAAAAGAAAAAATATTTTGGAGACGGGCTGGATAAGGTCACGTGATTTATCGTATCAGCAAAGCCGAAAAGAGAGTTGCAGCGTCCAGAGACTTCATCCAGCTGGGCTATTTGTTCTATTATTTTCATGAGAAATTCTCACGCGCGCATATCAGCAGTTAGTGATTCCTGTTACTGACAGATATCGTCAAGGACTTCTTCAAATCCAGCACCGTGGTTGTCATGAAGAAGTGCCGCGATGGGATCAACAGACGGGGCACGGATTGATATTATCCGAGATTAGCGGCAATGATATCACTGGCACCGGGACCTCTTCATGACAAGCTGCTAACAAATGCATTGCGACTGGTCAATAGTAGGCGTAGTAGCCAGGAGTACACATTTCTGGAAGTGATTTATTTCCAGATATTCTGAAATGCATTTCCTAAGACGCGATGTCTTATCAGATGAACTCAAATTGAGATGTAAACTAAGGACATGTCACATGACGTGTAATCCTCGATACCAGGGCGGTCAGTAACCCAGCGTCCACCACCACCTGTTCGAAGTCTGGTCAGCATCGGAATAAAATACGGCAGAATAGTAATACGCTCGGAATACCGCGACGAGTCTCAGTAGAGCAAAAGAGGTAGATTATTGCTGTCGCTCTTGGGGGCTCCCTCCTTCACCTTTCTCACTACTGTCCGCTCCCAAGCAAATCAGTGGGTTCTGGAGCACCAGTGAATTTCTATCTCTGTCTGATCAATCATTTTCAGCTCATTGAGTTCTCTATTTACCCTCTCGATATCCTTCGACCGCGATTTCGAACCAATTTCCGCTCGTCCATGCCGCCTTTTTCTCTTGCGCTGCAGTGTCGTATCGCCCGCTTCTTGAAGTCTATCACCTCCACCCTCTCCTCCGTCTTCTCCTCGTCCTCCATCTTCCCACGCACAGTGCCTCTTGTGTAGGACCCAGGTGATATCTGCTTTTGTTGGAATATACAAACGACCGTCAGCCTGATTTATTTTGGTTCTGTGTTCCTGCGGCTTGCCCCCCGTGAACGCAGTGGCTAAGTGAATCGCTGCTCGGTCGCGGGCAGCTGTGCTCAGTGCTCCTTTCACCGTTGGCGCATTGTTGATCGGTACGTTTTTTTGTGGCTTAAGGCATATGAGACGATAGGTTCTGCTCTATTCAATGAAGCTACTGCTTCGGTCCCTGCGAGAATGTTTCCCTCTTGCTCTGTTGAGACGGCGCAGTTGCCAGAGACTGCTGGTCTCGGGGTGTGTCCCGGGTAGCAGAACGATCAAATCTCCGCACCGCCTTCATCTGCAGACAAGGAACAGCCCAAACAAACTGTTGTCAATGACGGATCTCCATTCTTATTATGTGGCTTTATGTGTTGATTCACACTTTTGAGGTTCTAGCTGACCTTTATACTCAGCTTTTTAGTTTTCAAGCCACTTACTTCCCACTGACTGCCCGAGACCACATTGCCGCTGGCCAACCTTAGTATTGGACTTCCCCCAGACCGTTCAGGCAGGCCCGTTCAGCCGATCTCCATACTTTGTTTTCCTAGGTTGTTGAGCTCGTGCCGCGCCATTGCCTATGGAGGTGGCCGCAAGTCGAGAATCAGCTCCTGTTGGTCCGCCAACTGGGCCTGATGCCACAATCACCAATGGCGACCAAGATCTTCTCCTGGATGATTCGCTCATGGACGATGGACGTTCAAGTAGTCTGAGCGACATCGACGATGTCTTGGATAATGAACCCTCGGACTATGAAGAGTCGCTCAAGCCCGAGAAGGTAGCACCAGAGAATGACTCTGAAGCTGAGACAGAGCGCATCGAAGATTCCCCGAATCATTTTCGCAGAACCAACATTGTCGTGAGCAGCTATGGCCCTAGCCCCAGCAAATTGGCCCAATCGACGACGTACGATGACACCGAGGACGGGGACAACCAAATTGAGGATTCACCGACCAAGCCTCGCTCTAAGCCCAACGGAATCCTTGAATCCGCCGAAGAGATACTTGGCTTAGAAGACTCTACATTATCCGAAGGTACGGGAAAGAAGCGCAAACGACCCGAGTCTGGCGCGGATCTGGAAGGCGAGACGGGTGACGAAGACGAACCGCCTCAGAAGCGCCGCGGGTCGGTGAAGAGTGAATTGAGCGATCCTCCGGCAGATGACAGTGCGCTGTCTCCGGAGCCGATTGAAGAAGTGATTAAAGCAAACGAGGAAGATACCCCGGCCGATGACCTTCCTGAGTTCGATCTACCCACGGCGCCCGCGAAAAACAGAAAAGGCAAGAAGGGAAAGCGAAAAGGGCGGAAAATACGCGATACGGCTGATGATGATATGGATAGTGGTGCCCTCGAGACGGGCGCGGAGGGTCCCGCGGATGATGGCGATGACGAAAATATTGAACGTGGAGAGGACGCCGACGACGGGGAAGCAGCCGCCAGGCTTGAGGAAGAATGTAAGTCGCCCATTGTGGACTTTTGGATCATACTGCCGTCGCTTGTTCGACTTGCTAATAGCTTCTGAAGCAGCTAAGAGGATGTCCGCGATGGAATCTTTAACGATCCTGGAAAAGGAATTCGCTGCCCTACGCGACAAGTGAGTTGAATTATCAACAGACTAGCTTACTTCCTTCTGATTGCTGACGATGTTCCCTTTAGGATATACGACGAAAGAATATCTAAATTGAATCGAGAACTAGAAATGCTTACTGGCCCCAACCCAACTCACCCTGAATACCTGCGTCAGCTCGAGTGTGTTAAACGACACCGTGATGCAAAGATAAAATACGAACATACCTTGTTCCAGTACCGAATTCAAGCTCTCATGAACAAAAGTCTGGCGGAGCGAGCTCAGACGCATAGCACGTACTTCCAGCGGATTCGGGACATTCGGGAGAAACACTCAAGTGCTGTCAGCAAGCAATTTTACGCTATTCAGCACGATCGGTTCAAGACAGAAGAGCTCAGTGCCCAACACTACATACCTTTTCCCACCCGGCGTTCACAGCAAATCGCCCACCAAACAGCTTACAACCAAGAAGTGTCCATTATGGCTGGCGTCGCCAAATACGTGGGGTTCCCAGCGGCACCTTCATTGGCACCTGCGCGGCCGTTTGAACTCGAAGAAGATATGGAGAAGATGGGGGTGAGTTTGATTTTCAGGAACCTGCTTAGCTTACCTCGAGCTAACTCACATGTCCGTACAGATTTCCATCGAAACTAGGGCACCTACTTCACACCCTTCGGCGAACCTACCACGTGGAGCCATGCCAGCCATGTCCTCAAATGCTTTTCGTACAGCTGCGGAGGAGGCCTTCCTTGAGCAGACTCCCTGGGCTAACCCGCAGCACCCCATTCACCATCACCACCATCACCACCACCAACAACAACATCAAATCCCGCCGGGGCAGAGTCGAGTTTTTGAAAGCCCACATGCCTCGTCATTCACGACTCCGGCCGCTCAGAAACGAGTGGTCGATATTAATGCTCCCAACGGCTCGGCCTCCACGATAGCGGAGAACCTTTCGGCTGCAAATTCCTCGGCGAATAACACACCGTATGGAGCAGAACAGGAGCATCAGCACCATGGTCTTGCTCATTTTGGTGTTCCCGACTATGATACGGATCGCAAATCCGGATATCGATCACTAAGCTCTTCCCCGCTCGATGTGCGAAAACCGCACCCGTCGTATGCTACCCTCGATCATCGTGCTTCCCAAACCACATCGTCTCGAAATCCCGCCTTTTCACCGCAACCCGCCCGTCTGGGGCTTTTCCAATCGAATGTTTCAAAACACGATTCTTCGCCGCCTCTCTCTTCGAAACAAGTCAATCCCATACACCCATCGTCTGGGATACTGACTGGCTCTGGCTCTAGTCAGATGACAGCTCGATAGTTTCGACCAAAATACTTTGCACCCACCCTCATCTAACCTTCATGATCTTCCGGCGTCGGGGCTTGTATAGGGTTCAACAAGGTGTTGTAGAATAGTTTCCATGTATGAATGGCTTAGCATGTACGCTTGGGGACACAAGGACGACTATTGCTGCTCTTACAAACATCTCTCTCGCACTGTGTCCGTCTTATTGCTTTCGTTCTTTGAGCAGTGTGAATAATTGGCGAACGGCTGCATTGGGGGCTTTGTGTTCAAAGAATTTACCTCACGATACATAGTTTACTGTGTCATGTCTGATCAAATATCTAGGTACGGTGTTCTGCTTCTTTATTGCATGTGTCTCTGGTGTATATTCCCTTCCAGTCTTTCCATTACGTGGGTGCACTGATGCTGCCAAATGCCACGGAATGGGGGAGTTGTTGTTCACATTTGGCGGAGTTAAGACTGCTTTGCATGAGAGACAGAAAAAGGCTTTACACGTAAAGATGCATAGTTATTGAGGAAATATGTACATATTTAGGCAAGATTCTGGACACCAATGGAATTCATCTCAGGTTCTATGTCTGAGGATCGGATTATCAAGTACAGGTGAGGTTGTCGCAGGAAAGTCATAGCGGATCTCATATCTTAGTGTAGACAGCTATTCAAGCTACAGAACTTCCGACGGACGTTGAAGGTATCACGCCCATGAGATGAATGAAATGTTCGCACAGTCATTTCAAGCTCCTATTATGCATAGAATCAAGTGGAACGTCATCAAGCTTCGCTGGCAGATACTTGCGGCTGAACGGTAGAGTCCGCTTGCGCTGGCACACTTCCATCATGTGCGAGTGGTGCAGTGCTTTCCGCTGGTACTGAACGCTTGGACAGGGAGATCTGCTCCTGTTGTTGTGACTGTTCTTGTTGTTGTTGTTGTTGCTGCTGCTGTTCTATGACGTGCGGTCGCCACTTGGCCAAGATTTTGCCTGCGATAGGTCTCGATTCCTCATCTGGGGAGATGATCAGATTGACGAGATCAAGAAAGCGAGCAAGGAGTTCAACTTACACGTATTGTAGACATCTTCCAAAGCGTTGAGACACATTTCCCGAGCAGGAGGGCGGAACATCACGAGATACCTAGTCAGCAGGTCAGTGGTCATAAACAGTGATTCAGGAAAAGAAAGGACGCGTACAGTAACGACTGAACACATAAGTTGACTCTTTCAGGATCCTTCGCAAGACTCTGGACTCGCTTTGTGATGGGAATAGTGACCTCCGGTATTTCGCTGAGAAATCGGATAAAAATCTTGGTATCCCTGGAATCCAGATAGGGTAAAAAGCCATCCAGGAGTCGCAGGACCCATTGATCGTAATGTAGGGGTACAGATGCCTCCTCGTCTTCTTCGGTCCGCTGAGTAGCGGCAAATTTCATCTGGACTCGGTCATTGTACCATTCTTCGTTCAACCACATGATCCCAACGTTAACCCGCGCTCTAAAGTCTTCAAGAATGTATCGGTATAATGACTCGCGGATGAAATTCGAGATTGCTGGGGTTTTCCTGGCTCTTGAGTCTGATTCGGTCTTCTTGTCGTCAACCTCTAGAGTCGCAGGCGCTCTTGTGGCGAGTCTCGTAAGTAAGGTAACCCAAGCATCACGGTCGAACGTGCTGCCCGCTAATCGTGAAAAGCCTAGATGCTGCTGGGCTTTTCCTTTGGCAGGATTCGGGGCCATCGCAGTTGACGTCAGCATCTCAAAGACTCTCCCAACGGCGCTGCGACCAATTTGCGCTGCCTCCTCTTCTGTCAATGGCGGTGGTTGCGGCAAGACGAATGGACCAAGAGAGACTAGATCCGGCTGCAACTCTGCCATTTCGGCGGATACGGCACCTGCCTGCTGAGCAGCTGCTACAGCAATATCCATAGGTTGGTATTCAGGTTCATAGTCATCATCCTCATCCTCGGTGACTGCCACCTGAGTTTTCGCGGCCTGTTGTTGACAAAGAGTCTGATATCTACCTCTGATAGCCTAAAGTAGTAATGTCAGCAATTGATCCATACGGAGACCTCTCGAACATGTCACATACTTCAACAGCCTGCATCAACGCAGACGGATCGACTCGAGCTAGCACGGGGACCGCGATCTTGACTAGGAGATCGGGTGGTAATTGCTTCACATCGAAGGAGGAAAGACCCGAGTCTTCGGTTAAGGTGTACAGCTGATCATAACTGATAGGACCGGGTGGAAGAGGAGGAATCTTGATCAAGGGAGGCGTTTCTGCATCGAGTCTGGCACGTTTAGCATTATCAAGCCCATCCGTCGGCTCAAATGGCAGTCCTCGCTTTCTGGATGCATCGTCCACGATGTCTAAGCGGGACTGCATCAAACGTTCCATGTAGTGCTGCATTTTGCTTGCAATGGGATGGCTCGGATTTCTATCAACGTATTAGTCTTCTGTGTCCGCATCCGGAGGTAATCGCAATTGCTCACTTTTTCAGAATATTGACAAACAACGCTCTAGCCGTTCGTTCCATCGATTTGACGCCGATACGGATAGCAGGCGTCAATGGAGAGCGCACCTGTTTTGCAGGGTAGAAGTTCAGAACAGCATTGATAATCTTGTTGCCAACGGACTGTCGAGTTCGGATCAGCACCGCCAGGCAGTTTAGCGTAGCATTGACGAGGAGAGGATCGCTACATGAAACAGTTAGCGTCGAGGCACATTGAGTGGTCTGAAGGTGATTGTTAGTACCTCGCATCTTCTTGAAAAACTGACAGCAGCCTATCCAGCAGGCCAGAGGCCTCCGCCTCGAGATGGGGTAGAGCTAAAATGGAGTGATTTTTGGGAACGATGGCTAAGGAGGTTTCATTATGTTCGGGGCGCTGGAGATTGTCAACAACAACCAGGTCTTATTAAGACTATAGTCGGAGGGCTGTACACATACTCTAGGGTCTGCAATGGGGCCATGTGTCTGGACCTGAACGACCCGCTGAACAAACTTGATACATGACACTTTGACTGGATAAGGAGATGAGTCCCATTTGCGTAGGATATCTTGCTTGACAGCCGTCATATTGTCCCACAAAGCGCTGTCTTCTGGATGATTGATTCTGTGATAAAGTACTAGCGTCAGTAAACATAGACACTAAGCAAATTTTAGACCAGATCCCCTCCTCGCTGCGAGCATCTACGGGGGCATGATCCTCCACAGGTCTCCAGCGCGACGAGAGAAAAGAATTGATCACATACATGTGTCTAAAAGCCAACGGATACAAGCTGGCCGCAATCTGCACTATATGCTTCAAGACCGGGGTGTCTCCCTCAGGCAACTCTAAGATCTCGCGTATCGTCTGTAATACCCTGCCCGCCAATTGTTCCTTTTGCGCCGTCGCCAAAGCGGGACTGGCAAATGTTTCTGCCAGAAATTCCGCTCCCCATCGTCGCAGTTCCAATCGCGCGTGCGCACCGATGATTGGAATGATTCCGTTCACAATCTGCGGATAGAAGGCGGCGTCACCGAGAACGAGATTTCGAGCAGCATTGAGCTGTGCGACCTGGTCGGCAAGGTGGTTTGCCGCAGTTTCAGACATAATAACTGCGCTCGACAGCTATGGGAAAGGGCCCGGACGGGAGAATATTTCGAGATATGGTAAGGTCGAGGTAATGGCCACCTTGCTAGTGTCTACGCTGCATAGATTCAGAGCAAACCAATACTGTAAATGAAGGAGACCGGCCTAAGACATAGGACCGATGGAAAGCACGGCGTTCACGAGACACACCCCATGGACGCGTAAAGAATAGCCGGATACGTAATAGGACAGCGGTCGATGGGGACTCGAGCCTTCCGCAAAACAAAACACTCCGTGAAATGGGCGAATAGGCTTCGAGCAGCGAAAAAGTCTGGATCTACTAACTGTCGTTAATTGACTTGGTGATGATGTGTTGAAGAAAATGACGATGATGGTGATGATAATCGTAAGTAGTAGTAGACTGCAAATGGCGAGGATTGGCGCTTTTCTTGGATGTCCGCCAGCGGATGTTGAGTTTGGCCGACCCGAGAGCTCTTTGTATGGCTGCTGTGAGCAACCTCACTCACTGCTACTTTATAGAAGAAACAGTAGCTTAGAGTCTATAGTCAGTGGATCTGTAGAGATGACTATTTGACGAAAGATACCATTTGAGAGAGACGGTCAGGAACAAAGCTGGCAACAGGAGAGTACTTTACACAGTACAGCTAGCAGCCGCAGTCCGCATTTGTTCTGCCGGCAGAAAAAGCACACCACAAACGCCGAGACTGCTCTCTCGCCGAGTTCCAATCACCGTCAGCTTTCCTGGTCATCATACATATTGGCGTAGAAACCACTCTGGCTTCTGTCATCTTTGCCTTTCTTTCATTCGAACATACAGATTCTACTTGCACACAATGCCTGCAGGAATGTACGTCGACTCCATCCACCGCACTACAGTTTGCAGCAACTACGTGCAGCTGGCTCAATTCCAATCGCACCATACTCTTTCGAATGAGTCGCTGACCAACATCTCTGTCTAGTTTCAATTCGACATATTACGGCAAGGACTACCGCGCCGGTGCGGCTCTCCTTCGCGCTCGTCGCCCGTATCTCTTCAAGAATGCTCTTACTGGGCTCGGGCTCGTCGTTTTCACAATCAGTGTCTGTACGTACTCCACACGAACCCCACTTCTTGAGAAGAAGGGCATGACGAGAGGCATGGTTCGCTTATACACCAGGTAATTTCCCAGATGCATACACCATCCGCGCAGTTGGTCAGGACGAATTCTCCGACGTGAAGGTCCCCGATACTCCCGCGAAACCTCAGCAGCAGAAGCAATGAGCCATCCCGTCTACCTATACCTAGCTCACTACGAGTTGGGGAACTTTTCAAAGGCACTTGTGGCCAATTGTTCGATCATTGTATCAGCCATGGTGTATTGGGGTACGGAGTACAGGTGACAAACTGATTATCTTCACTGTATATTCTCTATGCTGTTCTTATATTGGAATTGTTTCGATCTCTTCTCGCCTCTTTTTTTCTACTACATTTTTACCGGAAGATCTCACTTATTCTTTTTGAGTCGGGCCCTCAGCTTGCTCACGGTCATGGATCACTTCTAAAGCGCCTTCCTATCTAGGGAATCATTCATATCTGGGCAAAGCTGGTATCTTCGAATCTAGTCGAGCCTTCGTCTCCGTTGGACTCCCAGGGGGGTGGGATTATGGACTACTATACGGAAATGAGAAAGAATGCTCGACAGTTGTTGGTATGATTTGCACTCGTGTCGCGCTATAAATCTGTCAAAAAGAAAAGCTTGAATCCTGCCCTCTATTCGGTTCTCAGAACCCGAGGTCCCTTCTTCTTGGTACTCCGCTTTTTCTTAAGACCTTTGTCGAAGGCGACTGCCTGGTTGTGGTCTCGGCCAAGGTTGTCGAGATCCTTAACCTTGTAGATACGAATGATCCAGTTCTCGCTCGTGAAAGCTTCCTCAAGTGTAGAAAGCTGGGGACCTTCTGTTGGAAGCTTTGAGCCACGGACGCGGTCGACAGCTTGGCCTGACGGGAAGAGAGAGTTGAAATTGTAATAAGACATTTTATACCTGAATTTCTGAATTAGCATGACGCAGCGTAGTAGATACGAGGGGAAGGGGGGAATTCATACATCAAGCTGTTGCGCATGGTTGGGGTCGCTCCATCGTCCACACGATATTCACCCCGTGCAGTAAAGAAGTCCCGTTCTTTGACCTCATCGGGCCAGATACCTTCGGCGATACGGACCATCCACAAGAATTTATTAATGTCATCGCCAGAATAGCCTAGCAGACCACCGAACACCACCAGCACGTAATCAACATCGTGCTGTCGGAGGATGGGGTAGCTGACTTCTTCGCGGGAGCTCATCGCCTTACCAACCGTGGCAATATGGGTGTTGTTCCAGGTATTGTTGTCGACTAGGGTCGGGCGGTCCGCCATGCCACCGATCTGGTAGCCATAATCCCACCATGACATAATTTTGGCGTTCTGAGGAGTGTTCTGACGAAGCCAGTAGTAAGCCTCACGGTAATCGTCAATGATGTATTGGCTTCCGTCAGGCATCCGGCTAGCCAAGACAACGGAAGGAGAAGAGTATGCATTTGAAGTCACCCAGGTGCAGTGTGCGACAAACAGGAGCAGGTAGACGACAACAGACGCTGTCATTATGATCTTGGACACATGGGAGGTGATTCCAACATTGGGCTTCCGAACTGAGCGAAGTGGTTCTGAAGACGAGTCTTCATTCGTTTTGGCTTCAGATGCTGGTGTCGGGGAAGTGGTGGCCATATAGGTGTCGAGGATCGAAGATAGCGCCAGAGCAGCCGCAACACACACAATAGGGGTCAAGGTCAGCATCAGTCGAACCATGACACCGGCGAAGTAGCTTGCAAGGACCGAGTAAATAATGACGAAGACATGCTCGTCCTTGAGGTCCCGGAAGCACATGTAGACTCCTGCTGGGAAAAGCCAGATAAGGAAGTTCAGATCGAAGAAAAACGCTGGCCAAGCGGTGGGCTGGTGCTCCGAGACCGAGGCAATGATGGGAATGTGAATTTTGGCATAGCCAGTGTCCCACAAGGAGTAGAATCTGCCGCTCCAAGGAGCAATCACTCCCGTCACAGTCAGAACAACAAGCCCAAGGAAACCGAGACCGAAGGTGATGAAGATCATGGCGGTTAGAAGTCTTTGGAACTGCTTGCTTGGGACGAAGCTGCGGACAAACTCGGCGAAGGCCACAAGTTGAAGCAGGCCGAAGACACCTGCAGAATGTCAGCTCTGAACGTTCATTTGGACTTGCGAAGCATGGACCTACCCAAGGCGGACATGTGGTCGCTGTTTCGAATAGGCAAAAATCCGACGAAGGGGATCTGCATGCTAGCCAGAGTCCCCAGCGCATACCATGTGGTATAGCTGATGTAGATGCGAGTGCTGTATCTACCCATGCACAGAAGTACAAAAACGTGCAGGGGGATCAAGTTCGTAATGAAGACATATCCACCCCATGCTGACACCATGTACCCGTAGAAAAGCGCGGTCAGCGCTCCCCACATGATAGATCCATTTTTGACAGCCTTGATCCATAGGAAGAATGTGAATACAAGCAGGAAGATGGCAATCGCTTCGTTATCGTAGCTTCCGGCAACCGATCGGGAGATGTAACCAGGGGCGATTCCCATGAAAGCTGCCGCAAGAAGACCCGCAGACGGCGAAGGAGACATCTCAGATGTCAGCAGGTACATTGCCAATGCAGTCAGGCCGGAGAATCCTGGCGCCAGCAAGACGCAGATGTTGCGAATATCGACGGGGATAGTGAGGAATCGCAGGATATGGTAGATAACGCCGCTCGTCACCATGAGACCGGGATATAACGTGCCACCAGTGACACGTCCCAGAGGATGCCATGTCCCTAAGTTGGAATTCCGATCAGTCTAGAAGCACGCCAGGAGAGTGACATGTTGCTTCATGCACTCTTGTACGATGGGGAACCACATACGGTCATCAAACCAATCCCAAAAGCTATAGAAACCATTCTGTACTAGGTATTTTGTTGCCCGGAAGTTGAACCAGGGGTCAACTATATCATCGAGCGTCAGTATCAATTCTTTCAATCGAAGTTCGTTGAAGGCCGAAGGCCGTTGGTATACAATTGACCTATACATACATTCGTGGATGATACTCTCGAAGCCTTGTTAAAGGAAATTGGTCAGTCGATTTGGTAGACTAACAAAATGAATATTTTGATCCCTCGATGACTTACGGATAACGCTGAAGAGTCGACTGGCAACTGCTGCTGCTGCAATGGTACATAGAATAATAATCCGCAGAAGGCCGCGTGTGTTTCTGCCAGTCTTGCCCTTTAGGAGAACATCAACAGGTGTTTCGGCCATAATGGCCAGAGGAATGAAAAGGAATTTCAATTGAGAAGAACAAAAGAGAGTAGGTCTCTCTCGACGTGCTCTGTAGCCGGTGAGAGACAGTTAGTTGGACGTTTAGTCTCGCCGATATACTGCTTGGGGGAGAGCTTCGCAAGGTGGTCTCTTCTGGAGGCTTGGCATCAGGTACGGTACGCAGTGAGTCTACGTAACGTTAGTCTAGTTTGTCCGTATCCGCTTCTAACTAAATCGATTATCGGAGAAGCTTGGGGGACCTCCAAGTTGTCCCCGCATCAGCATCACTACTTGACCTACGCAATCACCTAGAGACGTACAATAACACGATTGACAAAGAACCGCTCTTTCCATCATAGTCCTACAGACAGCGGCAAGGACATTATTTCCATAATGGATCTACCGCCCCTCTCTCAGGAGCAGCTGTCAACGGTACTCGCAACTGCTCGTTCGTCTTCTGAACTCTACGAGACATTGTCACAATATGAGTGTCCTGCCTGTTTCCTTTCAACGTCGAATAGCGACGAAGCGGAAATTTTGAGCTTGTTTTATTCGGGTTTCTTCTTCTCCCACCTTCTCCTTGATGATATGTGAGTCTCACGAGTTCTAGTTGCAGACACGCAGCCTACTAAGTACTGACACAATATTGCTTAGCTACGAGGCCCGCGCCATGACGAAGCGGATGCCACAGGACCTAGCGCAAAATGACGCTACCCTTCAAAATTGTTTAAAGTTACTGCGAGCTGTCTGGCAGCGAAAGTATGAGCACGTATACAAGGTTTTGAGAGACCTACCATGGCCTGAGATGCTTGAGCCAACAGTACGAAAATACGAACGTCAGTGCCACATCCTGTACTATATCTCCGACTGACTTATCCTTATTCTTGTGGTTAGTTCATTTCCAGGAAAAGACCTTAAAGGAAGTCAGCCGAGCCTACGAAGCGATTCGGCCTGATGCGGCTGCAAACTACCTTGGCCTTGATGCGACCGCCGCGAAGCAGGGCGATCCAGCTATTATAAGCAAATTTACAGCCTGCGGGTGGAGATGGGATGAGCAAACCGGGCTCCTCTGTCCCCAACCCATTACCACTCCTAGTAAAACGATTGGACACTCCTCCAGCGGGTTGAGCGAGGTCATGACGCTGATGGGATCTCATTCCGGCTGAAAAAGCCGACGTGGTCAACAAGCGTTACAGCTCGTGCTTGAAGCTGTGGTAACTCAAATCGTGAGGAATTAAGACGGTAGTTGTGGCCACCGGCAACCCTGACAGAGCCATTTCGATGGCTTCCTGCTCCTACACATGCCCTCTGGATGCGGCGTCGCTTACAACCTGCACGGAGTAGTCGATAGCGTGCGGGAGATAGGAGATCAGCGGCGAAACCGGAAAAACCACACAATTCTAGCTCTTCTGGTCCAACTGTAGTGTACAGACGCACAGACACCCCAGGGTATGTACAAGTCTCGGAGGAAGATCTATAGGTTAGAAGAACAACAGAGAATCATTCCTTTCGCTCGCAGCACGAAAGTGGGAATTAGACCAAACAATAATACATATTCGGGGCGGACCCGAGCCATCTTTCTTGTACCAAAGGGAGGTACAATCTTCGCAAGGAGAAAAATTCGCCAATCATTCTATATTTCAGTACCCTCAATGATCGAATCTATAGCTCCCCAGCTTTCATCTTCAGGAAGGCCTCCAGGTCGAACCGGCTATCTTCGGGATCCGTAATGACTGTAGCAACCCAATTAGCGTGACGTCGCACATGATGCTGGCAGTCAAAGACCAGGCAATCGTGATGAGGCTTGTTGTTTCAGAACATACCCCCACTGTCTGTCTTGGTGTCCTTGGGCGCCGTCTTCTTCTTCCACTCTGCCTTGGCCTGCTGGATCAAGCGTTCCTGTCGAGCATATTCACGG